ATCTGTGGGGAAGGAGGAGTTTAATGGAAACACAAAGCTTAATATATGGAGATATGCCTATCTCGTAGAGCTGGAAGGGACCCTGAAAAGTCATCAAGTCCAGCCCCCTGCCTTCATTAGCAGGACCAAGTACTGATTTTGCCCCAGATCCCTAAGTGGCCTCCTCAAGGATTGAACTCACAACCCTGGGTTTAACAGGCTAATGCTCAAACCACTGAGCCATCCCTCCCCCCGATTGTAGTCAGTTCCTCTTTTCTGAGAGTTTATGCTACTCTTTTTCCTGAAGCATGGTAAGTGGTGGTTGTCATATAGAGATAATTGGAGATCAGGTTTGGAGACTTTGAGGATCCCTTCCCAACTAGCTACTGCCCGTCAATGAGCACACTCTCTTGACCTTTTGAAGAAAGTGGTTCAGACAATGTTCTCTCTACCTTTTTGAAGTCAAAAGGGCATAGAGTTACTGTGGCATTACTACAGTGGACAGAACTGAACTCCGTATCCAGCAACTGAGCTGTGTACATTGCCTTTATGGCAGTCTGTATTGCTTACATCGTATCATGATGATTTTAAAGACATTTCACCTCTTAAGCTTGTCCTATTGATCCAAACAAGTAGTGTGGAATGTGAGAGGTGGCTTTCACTAATAGTATGCATCAAATGTAGCAGGAGAACAAACCTTTGACCTGATGTTTCTGCTTTAATGGATATTAATTTCAGTGATGGAACTCTCCAAATAATGAAGTATCCTGACAGTGGTTAGAGACTAAAAGAAAGGGGAAAAAATAGTGTAGAAAAGGCCCTAGAGAACAGAGTACTTGGGGCGAGGTGAGGAGTGAGAGGCCAGAGCTTTGCGTCATACAAAAAAGAATTATCCATTTATATGGATGAGAGGAATATCCAGAATTAAATATTAAAAAATAAATATAATAGACACCAAGATTTTGGAAAGAGTCTAAGCAGTTAAGTTTCAGGGGCACAAACCAACCTCTTTACCTATTGGAGGTTAGGAAGAAGCTATTTTGGGGGGCCGGTTGTGGGTAGTGTCACATACAGGATAGTGGACTTAATGGATCCCTCATCTGATTCTGTATGTTCCTAGAGAAGAACTTGCATATTAGTGTCCTTAAACTAAGGACCTATTTGCACTTGGTCTCAAACTTAGTTTTTGAACTAGTTTAAACATGGCTTTTTAAGCAGTTCAATGGTTTAATTCAGCTTTAACACAATTGACCAAGTCTGTGCAAAGTTTAACCATATTTAACAACTGAATTTAAGTGTGGCTTAAACACAGTTAAATTGGGTTATATCACTGTTTGGCTGCTAGTCTGTTTCTGCCCTGAGAATATCAGAAAATTGTCCCACTGTTGCTCTAGGACTGGTGGAAGTGCTAGTGCAATCAGTCACAGCTGTTTTTACCATTTTTGTCTACTGTTTGCCTAGATGAGATGGTGGTAAAAAATGTTCTTGTCAGGTCAACACTAGTGATTGCTGGATGTCTTCAGCGTTGGCCAAACTGGGTTAAAAATTTCTAGCATAAATTTCTAACTGGATTAAAGCATAGTTTTAAACCTGTTTTTAAACATAGTTTAGTTATCTATTCAGAGCCCAATGAATGGTGTTATAACCCAGTTTGAACACAGCTAGGTTTAAACCCTGCCTAGAAATATGGTTCTATATTGAGGATAACTCTTCAGACAGGGCCGTTGGCCATTCAATATGGACCAGGACAAACCTTGTCTAAACAAAATGTGGGTAGGCCAGAATATATGTTAAACCTCAGTTTAAACAGTTTGACATTGTCCACTCAAACATTTTATACCAAGTTAACCTGATGCAATTTAATTAAAATTATGTGTTTAAAGCATTTCAGCTGTCACAGTTCCTTTCTCTGTAGTTGGTTTAATGTGTTAGTCTCTGTAGTCTAACTATGAAGGGCTCATCCGTTCATGAAAAGATGTTTATGCCTTTTCATAATTTTTTTATTCAGGTCTGGGTATGTTGCCAAAAGTGGCAGTTTCCACATAAAATAGTCATATGAATATAAGAACGGCCATACTGGGTCAGACCAGTGGTCCATCTAGCCCAGTATTCAGTCTTCCAACAGTGGCTGTCAACAGATGCCTCAGAGGGAATGAACAGAACAGTCTAATTTATTGAATGATCTATCTCCTTGTCATCCAGTCCCAGCTTCTGGCAGTCAGAGATTTAGGCTTGGTCCACACTGACCCCCCACTTCGAACTAAGATACGCAACTTCAGCTACGTGAATAATGTAGCTGAAGTCGAAGTACCTTAGTTTGAACTTACCGCGGGTCCAGACGTGGCAGGCAGGCTCCCCCGTCGACTCCGTGTACTCCTCTCGCGGAGCAGGAGTACCAGTGTCGATGGCGAGCACTTCCGGGATTGATCCGGAATCGATTTATCGCGTCTAGACAAGACGCGATAAATCGATCCCAGAAGATCGATTGCTTACCGCCGGACCCGGAGGTAAGTATAGACCTACCCTTAGGGACACCCAGAGCATGGGGTTGTGTCCCTGACCATCTTGGCTAATAGCCATCGATGGACCTATCCTCCGTGAGGTTTTCTGTTTTTTTTTTTTTTAACCCAGCTGCATTTTTGGGCTTCTCAACATCACCTGGTAATGAGTTCCACAGGCTGTGCTGTGTGAAGAAGTACTTCCTTATGTTTGCTTTAAACCTGCTGCGTATTAATTTCATTGGGTGACCCCTGGTTCTTGTGTTATGTGAAGGGATAAATAATACTTCCTTATGCACTTTCTCCACACCTTTGATCAGACATGTTAATTAAATCATACCAAATGTTACAGCCATATAATGCAACCAGGAAGACCATTGCATAGTATAAGAAATTAGTTGTTGTCTAGTTCAGAATGCTTGGGAAGAATCTATTATCTCAGCAGTATAACGTTGCTGAAATGTATTTAAATATTTTTTTATGCAGTACAAATATAAGTAATAAAATAGAATATTTAGTCTGTTTATTTCTGCACAGTTCAACTAAGCTTTTCACTGTGGAATGACACTGGCATTTGTGTGGCAGTGTTTCGCAGAATGTGTTTTGAAGTACTTGTTTTCTGTTGAAAAGTTCATGCTTCAAAATCAGATATACCAATACAATGAGCATCAAACAGTTGGAGTGAATATTGCTACAACTGAAGTAATTATTTTATAAACACATACTTTATAGCTGCCAAAATATGATGTGCAATATAAAGTGTAAGATTCAATTTATAGTCTCTTGCTTAAGTGGCTATATTGAAGTATTGAAATTTTGAGGGGCATGGGAAGAAGCTTAATTCAGTCTTGAGAATCCTTTGGTGACTTGGGTAGCAAATGCTCGTGCAATTTACTTTCAATTAAGATTCCCATCTAGATGGTTTTTAACATTCTTAACGCCATGCTTACAGTGTCAAGGCTAAAAGTGTGGAAAAAATTGTCTACAAATCTGGCTTGTAAAGCACATGCAAGATTCAGTCCACCCTAAAGTATGATTGTTTCCAGATTTCATTATGAAACTTACAGAAGAATTTTGTTGTGCTGCTAAGTGCATAATCTTACTCTGAGCAAAGAATTAAGTCAGCAACCCAGGCTATAGAACACCCTTGTCTCCTTTCCACGCCTGTCAGATGAGGATAATAATAACTTCCTCACAAGAAGGTTTTGAGGTTTAGTTAATGTTTGTAAAGTATGTTGAAGTTTAGCTATAGGAAGTACTTAATATTGCTAGGGTTACTTTCTGGCCAGAATTGTAGAAGGCATCCTTGGTTTGGTATTTTGACTTCATCTACAATACTTCAGGCTAGTATTGTGTTGATGAGTCTTAATGGGCAAACCATGTTTACTCAAGATGTATCTGTGTCCTATGTACACTCTTATTCTGGCTCAAATGCTACTTGTTATAATACTACTAGGTAAAAGAATTCTGACACAAAAGTAGACACTTTTCTCTCTGTATTTAAATATGAAGGTGATAAATGTTTTATGAATACCCACGATAAATACTTACTGTAATCCTAAAATCACTTGGTCACTCTTCTTTCCCTGATGGTGTCTTGAAGGCTTGAAAATATTCTTTTCCTACTGACTGTACCTATTTCTATTTTGAAAATATATTTTTTATTTTAATATAATGGAATAGAAGCAGACATGGCTTTGTTTCCTGGTGTGCAAGATTGGATGTTGGCTAAGTCAGCAAGAATTGGATGTTGCTTGAGTCAGCAAGAATTTTCCTGTATATGTCACAACAATGGTGGCTGTATTTTTTTTCTTTCTAATTTTCTAATTAGTGGATGATATGGGAAGGAACGAGATTAAATCCAGAGAACATTGCTCTGTATTTTGAGCAGTTTTAAGGTAGGGTACATATTATGCCTGAACTACTGAAGTGTCTAAACAGATACTGTGTTAGAAAGTTGTAGACCTGAGCTGCAAAATCTGTTATCTGATGTCCGCAGTTGCTGTCTAATTTTAGTTAGTGGTATATATTTAAAAGTGGTGGTGTTTGTGCACTGTGGGAGTTGGGGAGATCTAATTATTAGCTAAAATACATAATTTAAAATACTACTGGTAATTGCACCACCTAGACTTTTACTCTGTCACTGTTAGAACATAGCTCTATTACTAAAATAATGAATGAACCCTTGTATAGTATGTCATATCCTCAAACACCACAAACTTTTAACTATTCAAAATGTCTTTGAGAAGTAAATTAATATTAATCCCATTTTTATCAACTGAGGAACTGAGGCAGACTGAAGTCAGAGAGGGAGTCTAATGCACATCTGGGATTAGAAATTCATGACTCAACTCCTGTGTTTATTCCACGCCCCTTTCAATCTGTGAATCTAGAAAACAGTTCAGGTCATCTATACACAAACTTCATTTGGTCGAGGGAGAAGGAAGTTAGCTTCACTTTTACTTTGGATGAATTAGGATGTATTTAATAAATATGATCATCGTTGTCTGTTTTTCTTAATAGAAAATGCCTGAAGCATCAGAAGATCATATCCACTGGAAGATTTATTGACTTCCATTCTTGAGAATCCCAGAACAACATCAGTCTGGCATGGCGCAGGGCAGTCAGCAACTTGATGTGCAGGTACTCCATGACCTCCGGCAACGTTTCCCTGAGATTCCAGAAGGGGTGGTGTCTCAGTGCATGCTCCAGGTATGCTGCAGCAGAATACAATAGCATAGTAACAGTTACCATACATTTATCCTTGTAGCATAAAAAGAACCCCCTTGTAATAGAAGAGTTAGAAATCAATTCAATTTCACAGTTGTCTTCTGGGTTTTTTTAAGTTTCTAAAGGATAACAGGTGTGACGGTGCCCCCCATAAGGCTTTATGGAATATGTTTATGAATGTATATATGACATAACTAGAATATGTTTTAGGCTACATAGGCCATGTAACACATCTCTGTAAAGTTATGATCTACTGAATCTATTAATCCTATTTGTATGCATGTATCATTTTTGTACTTGCAGTTAGGAATATTGGCTGCATACTTGCTTGATTTTAACTAGCCTAGTAGAGCATTTGGTCAGCTTCTTGAGAAAAGTGCAAATAAAGTGCCCAATCAAAAACCACTTAGGCCAACAATGAATTTGAAGATGCCAATCCACATCTGAGCTTTCACAGGAATGTCGCTTGGCTGGTAAAAACTGAGTCATGCATGGACATGTGGCTTGCCCATGTGACTCCAAAACTCCATCTTGGAGGTGGACTTTGCATAAGAGAGAGGAGGGGGTCTTCACCCACAAGAGAGAGTCTATTTAAACCCCTAGGAAAACCCTCCATTTTGTCTTCAGCTGGCTAAAGGGAGAGCCTCTCCACCCCAAGGATACCTGAAAGAAACTGGAACAAAGGACAGTAACTACAGGGGGTGTGAGTGATTGCTCGACTCAGACTAGCAGGAGACTAGTCTGTAAAAGGAAGCTTACTGGAACTGGTGAGGTTTTATTTGTATTCAGTTTCTTAGACATGGACTTGTGTGTTCTATTTTATTTTAGTTGGTAATTCACTTTGTTCTGTCTGTTACTACTTGGAACCACTTAAATCCTACTTTCTGTATTTAATAAAATCACTTTTTACTTATTAACTAACCCAGAGTATGTATTAATACCTGGGGGGGGACAAACAGCTGTGCATATCTCTCTATCGGTGTTATAGAGGGCGAACAATTTATGAGTTTACCCTGTATAAGCTTTATAAATGGTAAAACAGATTTATTTGGGGTTTAGACCCCATTGGGAGTTGAGCATCTGAGTGTTAAAGACAGGAATACTTCTCTCAAGTTGCTTTCAATTAAGTCTGCAGCTTTGGGGCACATGGTTCAGACTCTGGGTCTGTGTTGGAGCAGACTGGCGTGTCTGGCTCAGCAAGACAGGTTGCTGGATTCCCAGGCTGGCAGGGAAAACAGGGGCAGAAGTAGTCTTGGCACATCAATTGGCAGTTTTCAAGGGGTTTCTGTGATCTAACTCGTCACAACAGGCACTTGGAGAACAGCAAACTTTCTCAGTTTACTTTCTATATATATATTTTTGTACAAGAAAGTAGGTATTCCCTGTGGCTGAGCAAGTTTCTGTCATCTCAGGATGTGAGAGTGGAAAACTCCTTTTTTCTCTTCTGCCATTCAGTGTAGACAGTGTTGCCCTCATACCTGAATTTAAACTGGGGGTTACTGGATTTTTCACAAGACCAAACTTTTTATGAGCGGTAAGGCCCTTGCCATGTTTCTTAAAGAAACAATCAAGTAGTGTCCCTAGGGGTGCTTCACTGTAGGTGTGCTTGTATCCCTGTGCTGCTGATTGGAAAACTTTGGTATCAGTGACAGAGTCCTGTGGCACCTTATAGACTAACAGACGTATTGGAGCATAAGCTTTCGTGGGTGAATACCCACTTCGTCAGACGCATGGCCACAGGACTCTTTGTCGCTTTTTACAGATCCAGACTAACGTCTGATATTTGGTATCAGTGTCAGTTAGGCCTGCACATGCGCTGTCTCCCTTTGTGCCCCACCATAAGGCTAACCAGTATGTGCGGGCTAACCCCCCCTCAGTTCCTTCTCAGCTGCCTCTGGCTAGAGTCGGAGCCATCAGCAGTCCGTTTGAGATCGTTAACGTCTTCCTTTTCTTTAACATTTTTAGTAGCTAGTTAGTCTTTTTCAGTCTTAATTGTAGTTTTCCCTTATTTTCTCTTAAAGAAAAACTTTTAATTTTTCCCCCTTTTTCGTTGGGGATCTCTTCCCCCAACAGGGTACGCCCAGCTCACCAGGCTTCAAGAAGTGCCTCTTCTTGCAAGGAGGCCATCCCTGTGGCAGATAAATATTCTTGATGCGTACGCTGCCTCAGGAAAGGCCACATTCTGCAGAATTGTGGTCTCTGTCAACAATTTAACCCCAGGTCTCGAAAGGACAGGGAATTGAAACAGAAGATAATTCTGATGGAGGCAGCCCTCTAGTCATCTTTGGATCCATGCCAGGAGTCACCCAGAAGGCATGAGTCTTCTCTGCAGCCCTCGACATCCAGGGACTAAGGGTTGAAGAAATCAGCCATGGACCCCTCTCGTAAGACATCTAAAGAGATTGCTGTGAGTCCCCAGAGTGAGCCCTGAGCTAGCCATAAAAGATCTCTGTCATGCTCGGTATCATCAGTACTGTTGGCACCGAGGCAATCCAAGCACGGTACCCATAGCTCACGATGGTCTAGAGCGGCAAGTATCGTTGATGCGCCTAAAGACCTGATGGGCATAGGCACCGTCAACCATGAGCCATCCAGCACTGGTGAGATCCCCGACTGCAGGAGTTCCAGCACTCAAGAGAGCTCAGTGTATCTGATATACCAGAGTCTCCCCTTCTTGGCACTGGAGCTTCGGTATCAAGTCTTCTCTGGTACCTTGCCAGGCACCCTTACTTTCTAGTCACCACTCCTTCCATACTCTCTATGAAGCCTGTTATCAAGGGACTCCTCAGGCATACCATCAGCCTGCTCCACCACACCATGGTACAGCCAATCATGGGCACCACTGGGCTCTATCCCACTGCTCCAATAGCCCTACTGGGATCCATGGGCATCATATCAATCATACGCTTCTTGGGCTTCCAGCTACATCTGTGAGCCCCTGAGATGTTCTCCTTCAGCCACTGAACCTCTAGAGGAGATTGCGGAGGAAGAAGAGGGCAGATTCAAAGAGGAGGTTGCATTGAGAACCAACATCACTTCCTCCTCTCCAGATGAGGCAATCATGCCCCTGCCACTATGCTTAGCCAATGATTTCCAGCTTTTCCAGGACTTGGCAAAAGTGTAGCAGACACACTGCAGATACACCTGGGAGCGGTAAAAGATACTCAGCACAGACTTCTTGACATCCTACTCTTCCTCGTCCTCCAGAATAGTCCTCCCCATCAATGAGGCTCTCCTGGACCCCACAAAAACTATATGGCAAACTGCAGCATCAGTAATGCCTACGTGTAAATGGGCTGATAAAAATCATTATGTCCCAGCTAGGGAGACGGAATCCCTTTTTTCCTGCCCTCCCCCCAACTCCATCGTTGTGAATGCAGTAAACTCCCGGGGTTGCCAGCACCAAATGAGATCTATCCCCTATGATAGGGATTGGAAAAGCCTTTACCTCTTCAGGAGAAAGGCCTACTCCTCTGCCACATTGCAATTTCAAATACAAATTATCAAGCATTAATGGCAAAATATATCTGTTAATTATTCAAAGCTCAGCACCTTTATTGATCAGATCCTAGAGCAGAGTGTGACCAGTTCTGAACTATCATCCAGGAAGGGCAACTATTAGCCAAAACAACGCTCTGGTCAGCCCTCGATATAGCTGATACAGTGGCCCAGTCCATCTTCACTGTAGTGGTTGTGTGACATGCATTGTGGTTACGCCTCTCTGGATTCCCTAAAGAGGTGCAGATGGCCATTGAAGACCTTCCCTTTGAAGGCACCAACTTGTTTGCTGAAAAGTTTCACACGTTGCTACACACCATTAAAGATTCCAACGCTACTCTCCGGTCATTTAGGGATCTATATGCATGGACAAAAGAGAAAATTTAGTCTGCAGCCTCAACATAAATTCCATACCTCCCAATACCCAACTCAAAGCTTCTACAAACCTCAGAGAAAAAAATCTAGATTCTTCAGGTGCAAACCATCAGGCCCACAGCCTTCCACAGCACAACCAGCCACCTCAAAACATCAGTTTTGACGTGTTGGTCGAGGTGTCAACAGACCACTCCCCTTAACCACTGCCGCTGACCAACCTACCCCGCCCATTTGACTACCACCTTGCCATGTTCCGCAGCACCTGGGAACGTATAACATCAGATGAATGGAAATCCATTCACAATGGGTACTCCATCCAACTTTACCTCCCCTGCCCCAACACCTTTCAAGGACCCTTCTCACGAGAGTTTACTACAACGAAACAGTGCAGAAGCACTAAAGCTATGGAACTGGTGCATTTCCCACATTGTCACACTATTAGTGCCTACCTTCCGGGAACACAAAACTCAATAGCAGACCATCTCAGTCGCAACTTCCACATGTTCACGAATGGTACCCAGCAGTACTTCATGACCTTTTCAAGCAGTGGGGGACACTGGCCACAGACCTGTTCAACACTTGCCTGAACAAGAAATGTCCACAATACATAGAGCAGGGATGGGGAAGCACTCCCTGGGCGATGCTGTCCTTCCGTGGGACAAGGACCTTCTGTATGCCTTTTCCCATTGGCTCTGTCAAAAATCCTATTAAAAATAACAAAAAGGAGCACACCTCATATTGACTGCTCCCACTTGGATGAGACGGACTTGCTACCCTTACCTGTTGCAACCGAGCCGAGGCTGGGGGCAGGGTCGGAGCAGAGCTGGGACCGGAACAGGAGTGGGTGGCACTCCCTCCCCCCGTGAGGGCTGGCTCGGGCCCCGCTGCACCCCTCCGAACATTCTTGGGGGATGTGTCCCACAGTTTGGGGACTTCCGTGCTAGTGAGAGCCAAAGATGATGGCTTTGATATCGCTGCTGCTTTCCTTGGCAGCAATGCCTCCACTCACCTGTTTCTCCCTGCTCTTCACCCCCAACTGCCTGACCTAGGACAGTATATAGGGGCAAGGAGAGTAGCAGGTGGGGTAGTTACTGCTGAAGGCATATCTGAAGTAACTTTACCTGAACATCCCCTCCTTTTTTCGTCAAGAGGAGGATTGGGTTCTGTGTAGTAGGCTAAACCTTTTCCTTTGGAGTTTCCCCTTTTTATCTGCTGCCTGGCTGGTCAGAATGGCTTTCGTACTTCCCTTTTGCCAAGTCAAATTGCAGTCTTTTCCCCAAGCAGCGCCATTAAAAGGAGGCAGCAAAATGGGGACACAACTTAACTGTAGAAGTGCTCCAGCAATTTCATTACTGCTGAAATCTCTGCATACAGTATCTCCACCCATCATAGCTCTGAACTGCTTTCAGATAAGAAGTGCAGGATATTCTTGTAATACAGAATTTTCTGTTTACTCTGACGTAGTCCTTTCTTCTGTACTGGTAAGTAGATTACTTGGATGAACCATGTTGAACTATCCAATGTCTGTAACTTGTCAAAGCTAAAGGACCCCTGTGTCTCTGAAGTACAGTATCCAGACACTTTCTGGACATCTGAATACAAGGTTCTTTTTAACATACCGTGTTCCAACATTTTATTTTATAGTCTTTGAAGTATATAAAAGGTTTCCATGTCCACACTAGGAGCATTTTACCAGTACGGGAATATCTGTATGCAAAGCACTGTAGGTATAGTTGCAGGTATACTAGCAAAGCTGCTCTTTGTACCAATATAGCAAAACCACTCTGTATGATTGAAATAAGTCATGCCAGTAAAAACACAGCTGATGTAACTATGCCTATACCTGGGACTTCTGCCTACACAGCTGTATCAGTCAGGGATCACACCTCTTCACAGCCCTGACCAACATAGTTGTGCCAGCATAAGTCCGTAATGTAGACCTGGCCCAAGGCTATGCAATATGTGAATTAAAAAGGCAAACGAACCAATAGTCATTGGCTGACCTGTCATCACACCACATATTCCAAATATTTAAAACTGTATAAGTCTCAGATACACCAAAAATTTGGGGTCTTTCTAGACAGATGATAGTGTGTTTCATGGGACATCTTCTAGCTGCCATCTTTCCCCCTCGTGTCTGTCATGTTATGTGACCTGAGGGAGCCATGGACTCTTCACTGCGTTCTGCTTAGGTAGTAGGTGGGTGGCTGGCAGCAATTGCTTGTGCTCTCTGGTGTCTGATACTGCTCTCGGTTGCATTGGTGCCCTCTCTAATTATGGGGCTGGAACACGGGGACCCTGCTTTAATTCTGTACTACCTGCCACTTACGACAGCTCTGTTAGCAAAATAGACGTGGAAATTGGTGTTAGAAGAATGGTGCATGGTGCGATGTGTCAGAGCCAAAGATGTGAACTGGGCTGGACTTCACAGGGCCAAAGATGAGAGAGAAGTAGATCTTTAGCTGAGAATATGCTGTACATCCTTCTTATTCTGGTTATTGAGGTCATCCAAAATATAGTGCTAGAATAAAGATGACTTTGCCTAGACCATTCGCAGATCACCTAAGTAGGAGACCTAATTGTAACTTATAAGTCTATTGATAGAATATATATATATATATATATATATATATATATATACACACACACACATATTTATCGTAAGACAGTAAGCATCATAAAGAGACTACAGTGATGGCGCTTAATCAAACAAGTGAAACACCTTACTAATTAGCATTGATTCCTCAGTGCTGGAGTCATTCAAAAAAGTAGCATCAGTGGCAGAGGAGAACTTGATGAATCTATACATTTACTTGTGCCTGATAACTATTTTATTTTTGACCTGTTGAGATCTATGGTATGCTGTAGAAAATACCCATCTTGGGATCAATTTTGTAAAATGTATATGGTCAGAAATAGTCAAATGTGACTAAAGGTACAGATTAGATTAGAGTTTGTATTTGAGGCTGAATCACAGCTTTTGTTTGGATTTTGTTCTAAAAACGTGGGAAAAAATCTAAGATTTCTGTGAAAAATAGTAGCAATCACAACATTTCCACAATCCATTACAATCTTGAGTGACTTTCTAATGTGTTTCCTATTATCTTGGGCCAAGATATCATTAGAACAGCTGTTGTCATAACACTTTGGCCATAACTAAAGTGGGGGAAAAAGCCCCTTTTGTTTTTGACTCAGAACCAAAACTTTGCGTAGATTCAGGTCCAAGGTGTGCAGTCCAAACTATACCCCTCCTGAAATTTTAAGGGGTTTGGATTCTTCATTCCTCTGAGGGCTGCACAAGCTTTTTCAGCATGCTTTTTTATTTATTTTAAAGAAAATGTAATAGTTGAAGATGCAATGTCAGACTATAAGGAGTACTGGAAAATGGCTATTAATTTCTAAACATTTTAAAGATTCTAAATTATATATTTATCAGTTGGCCAATGTAGGATTTATTGTATTTTTAACTTTTCCTTGCTTTTAAGTGCTTGGGTTTTCTAAACTATGTCATAGGTAAGTATGCTGTTTTAGCATCCTTAATTGTATTTAAAGGCTTTTTTTCCTAGTTTACTTGATAGCCAAACCAGTAAGAGTTAATAATTTGGGCAAAATGTTTCAGATTTCATTTTTTAAATTTGATAGAGAATATTGGTAGTTTATCTTTTAAAAAACACTCTTCACAAAGGACAATTTTCAGTCTGCATTACTGATAGTAAAATATTAATATGCACCATTTTCAGACTATTTGTAAGTAGTTTTTAAACTCTGTTTAGAAAATACTTCCAAGTCTCTGTATATTGTATTGAACATCTCAGTCCTGGTGAGTATTTGTGGCTGTCTGCTACATTGAAACTATTTTCTAGAAAGAGGAAGGTGATCAAAAGAGTAAATTGAAGTGGATTAGGCTAAGGGATAAAGGACAGAAATCAGGGGAGGCCTGTTGCAAGGAAGGTTAGACAGAATACATTTGAACTATGAACACACTTCTACAATAAAATTTTTAACGCTGGGGTTTCTTTTAAATTGCAGCTAATGTGAAGAGCAAACCAAAGTTAAACAAGATGAGTATTTGGATTGCAAATTCAGTAACCATGGAGATTGGATGGCTGGAATATGCTAAACCACTTTGAAATGTTGTTTTGAACACTTCAGAGTTTCAGACTGTGAAATAGTTCTAATGTGTAGTATTTTCTCATTTGAAATAGTGTTAAATATACATACATCCTTTTCTAAAGAAACAAAAACTTGTCAGGAATGAATGCCAAAGCTATAACCATTACCAAATTCTATTTCCCCTAACTTGGACTTGCTACATTTTATGTGGGTCACTCAGTAGCTAATGTTATCATAAGATTTCACTGTAAGTAACATGAGCCACATACTTCTTATATAGCACGATCTAACAGGGATTATCTTTAATTTATTTCAGGAGTCATAGGTATGCCAGCTACTGTGAAGTGTTATCCCTAAAATGCGTTCAAGCTAGGCTTAATTGGAGCTTCAGCTGAATATACTGATTGGCGTTACTAATGTAATTTGAAGATAATTGGTGTCAATTCTTTCTTCTAGAACAACAACAACCTTGAAGCATGTTGTCGAGTCCTTGCGCAGGAGAGCAGCAAATACTTATATATGGAGTACCATAGCCCTGATGACAGCAGAATGAACAGGAATCGCCTTTTGCACATTAACCTGGGTATTCATCCCCATACCAGCTACCATGCAGGGGAAGGAGCTCAACTTAACGGTGGTCGTACACTGGTACATAGCTCAAGCGATGGACATATTGAGCCACAATGCGCAGCAGGTAAACAGCTGATATGCTTAGTTCAAGAACCACACTCTGCTCCAGCTGTTGTGGCAGCTTCTTCTAATTACAATCCATTTTTCATGAATGACCAGAATAGAAATGCAGCTACTCCTCCTCCGCAACCAGCTCAACAGCCATCTTCCATGCCACCAGGAATGAACACATCTGCTATGCAAGGCCCTCATCCTCCTACATATATGCACATACCTCGGTACAGTACAAATCCTATTACTGTTACATTATCGCAAAACCTCCCCTCTGGACAAACAGTACCCAGAGCTTTACAAATTCTTCCACAGATTCCAAGCAATCTTTATGGGACTCCTGGTTCTATATATATTAGGCAGACGTCTCAAAGTTCTTCAGGACGACAGACTCCTCAGAATGCACAGTGGCACTCTTCTCCACAAGGCCCAGTTCCACATTATACTCCACGCCCGCTACCTGTTTATCCACATCAACAGAACTACCAACCTTCACAGTATTCTCCTAAACAGCCCCAGATCCCTCAGCCAGCTTATCAATCACCACCTGCATCTCAGTGTCCTTCTCCTTTTGGCTCTCCTCAGCATCAGGTACAGCCTACCCAATTAGGTCATCAGAGTTCACATGTGTTTATGCCTCCTAGTCCTTCAACTCTTCCACCCCATCCATATCAACAAGCGCCCCAAAGTTATCAAAAACAGGGTGGTCACTCAGTATCTTATCTCCCTTATGGACCTAGCTTATCCAAAGGTTCTATGAACAAGATAGAAATTACAGTTGAGCCACCACAAAGACCTGGGACTGCAATGAATAGAAGTCCTTCACCAATAAATAATCAGCCATCTCAACGAAACCAGCACCCGCTGTATGCAGCCACTACTCCATCTTCAGGCTCTCCTTCAAGAGGTATGTCAGGTCAACCAAAACCACCATTTAATGTTAATCCATTATATATTACCTACACACAACCAACTGGACCTACAGCTGCACTAACACAGTCTCCCCGGGTAATGGTATCTCAGCCAAACTCAACAGTATTTAAAATCACAGTAGGTCGAGCGCAGACTGAGAATCTTTTAAATTTAGTGGACCAAGAGGAGCGTTCTGCAGCACCAGAACCTATTCAGCCCATTTCAGTAATACCAGGATCTGGAGGAGAAAAAGGAATCCATAAATACCAGAGGAGTTCCAGTTCTGGATCAGATGACTACGCTTATACTCAAGGTAAATTTCTTGAACTGTCAACTGTTATTTTAAAAAATTAAATTAAATTAAATTGAACCTATTCAGAAGAACATGATGACTTTTGGCCTGTGTGATCTGAGATATTTTGATGTACTAGAAGTTTTTAAAATGTAACATGGAAAATATGAATTGATGAGAGATTGTTGTCAAATTCTAATGATTTATTATAAATGGCCATACAAATCATCTTGTCCCATAAGAGAACAAGATGACATTTGAAGAAACTGAGAAGTTGTGTATTTTAAAACTAACAAAGGCAAATGCTTTTCTGTATAGTTCATTTACCTATTGTTTTGAAGTTTTGACACAAATATTTAAATACAGATTAGATAATTTTCATAGACTCATAGAAATGTGGAGCTGGAAGGGACCTCAAGAGGCCATCAAGTCCAGCACCCTGCACTGAGGCAGGACCAAGAAACGTAGATTATCCCTGACAGGTGATTGTCAACCTGTTCTTAAAAACCTCCACTGATGGGGATTCCACAGCCTCCCTTGGAAGCCAGAGTTTAAATACCCTTATAGTTAGAAGTTTTTCTTAGTATCTAACCTAAATCTCCCTTGCTGCAGATTAAGCCCATTACTTCTTGTCCTTTGAATAAAATACATTTGAATACATTATAACATATATTTATTTGTTTAATAAACAAAATTATTTTAGTTGCTACACAAAACCAAAAACATTGTACCAAGACAAAACCAAATAAGCCAGCCAAGGTAATAAACAAAAATAAGGAAAGAGAGCGGTCAGGGGATAAAATATTAAGGTTGCACAGTAAGGCGAATCCACATCTTGATTAAAGGTAGAATAATTCAGTTATTTTAAGCTTTTAAAAATGTTAATTTATCATAACTGACATGGCAGAAATGGTTTTTAGGCAGGATTTGGATGCAAAGAAGACGGTTGTTTGGTGGTTTGTTTTTATATGGATAGGGGCAGCAAATACTTTGAGAGCCCTAATATCAAATACCAAGTAATTACAACTTAAGTAAAAGAGAATTGGGTGAAAACTCTACCCAAACATTTGAGCAGAAAAGTGCTTTCTTCAGAGCTGCATTTTTTGAAACCTGGTTGATATACTTGAACTCACTTGCACAGAGAAAGTTTAGTCTGCAAACATTCAAGCCAGTCAGCTATAATTGTCATAATGCTAATTAGCAGCAATTATTCAAAGCATCTACTTCATACTTAGATTTCTAATGAGATGAGATTATCTGCCTTTCCTCTATCTTCCTCCTATCCTTTCTTTTCTCTTCATTTTATTCCTATTTCACATTATTTCACCTCTCAAACTCTGCCCTGCAGTATTTGGGCCCTCATTTCCCCTGTCGCCTCAGAGCTATCTTTAACCTCTTAACATGAAATTGCTCTGTACCAGATTGTTTCTGTGCACACAGCATCCCCTGCTGATTCCTGGACTGAAAGCAGGGAGGAATAAACTTTGTGAATGGTAGAGAACAGTAGGAGTGAGGTGGAGCCAGTTAGTATTTACTCTAGGCAGCGTTGCCAACCTGGCCCTACCTGCCGGGGCCATACACTCTCTCGTGGCGTGCCCTTTAGCAGTTCCAAACAACCTTGAATAACTGGCAGAGTAACCACTGTTCCACAGATTAACTCAATTGTGTAGGAAAAATATAACTGATTTCATGTGAGTAAGACAAAAAATGGGTTCTGGATTGCAGAATTACTTGCTAAGTAAGGTTTTATTTGCTGCTCAATTTTTTTGCACCCTGTTTTTTTCCCCTAGATACTATTTTCTTTTTTCTTTGGTAGTTAGTTTCCTTCATTTGGACAGTTGAGTTTCTTAGGTTTGTATGGTCGTTGGGGCAGAGAACTGTATCTTCCTATATGTTGGGGCTTCAATAGTGGCTTTATGTGCTACTGCAGTATAAATATCAACAGCAATAATATTTAGCCTCTGCAAACTTACATTACACACTTATGTAGCACAACTGAGATTTAAAGAGGAATATACTTAAAATCTTCTGATTTTGCTAATTTAGGAAACAAATTAATTTGAATTACTTTTCTATAAGTCTCTACCATGGTGAAAAAGTTCCAGAAATATATAAATCACTACTGATTTTTTTCTTTAGTGTGATATATTATATTGCATGATGATATAGCCTAATAAGATGCAGCACATGTGGGAGGGCATTGTATATGTCAGGTATAAACTGGATGATGAATGAGCATATAAAGCCAGAAATTGGTGAGCCATGTATCATTACTGTTGTGAATTTTTTTAAATTAATACTGTAATTATGATCTTTCAAACTCTTCTCTTGACTGAGACATATTGTTTTTATGAAAGGTTGTTGCTGGTTTTGTTGCTTTAATGTTATTTAATAAGATATCCTGTTTTCAATCCCTGTGTTGCTACTGGCTTCTGACATGCGAGGGTCCATACAAAATCCAAGTTTAGCATTTCTGCTTCAGGTAGAAAAGTGGCAGCCAACAAAAATACCATATTTTTATGCTCCTGGCTCTTCCTCTCTGTTTTTTCTCCTGCTTCTGTAGGATCTGTCATGTCTGCTCTTAACTCCATCTGTGGAGTTTTGTCCTTTCTTTCAATTAGTATATAATTGTATTTTTCATACAGTGTTTTGTTTAACATTTTTAATTTCTGTTTGCATTGAATGGAGGTCAGGAAGGGGAGAGACTGCAGGTGCTTTGCATGTAATAGCACTTTACAGGCTTCTGTAGTGTGTCCTTGTACATCCTTTTTTCTGTTTATTTCACAGTAGAAACATAGGAATAACCTGCTGGCAAACCCATTACTTAGACAGTCTACCCATCTGAATACCAGCAGTAAATCTCTTCCCTTTGCCCTCCCCGCTCAATTGCCCTTGTCAAGAAGGATCTTTCCTCTTCATTTGAGCATCAGTGAAAACAAGTAGATCAGAAAGTGCGAAACCTCAGACCAGTGACCTGTATTAACTACTCCTGTTTGACATTAAAGTAAAAATATTGAGGAAAATCCTGTCTAGTCTCTGTCAGAGAAGATTGAATATTTATTCCTAGCTAGTCGGATTATCTTTACCTGCTCACCAGCTGCCTCAGGAACCCATGACAGCAAAAGTCTTGTTAACTTGAGACTGACCATGACAAATTTCATTCCAAAGGCATAAGTTTTTGAGGAAGTTATTAACGACTGAAAGAGGTTTAGAAGGAATGGCTCAACTTTAACTATAGAATTAAAGGTCCTGAAGGTCTTTTCGTGAGGATTCTTGTAACTAATTTATGTCTATCTTCCTTTAATAAGGGATTCTCCTTGCTTGCTAGTTTTGCCTGTGAGCATTGGTAAATTTATAATACTGGATATTAAACCTTCTACTGTTCCAAAGGGCAACAGCAATTTTTAAAAACTTTGTTGTATAGTCTCTAATAGAACTGCAAAAATCAATACAGGTTTGGCTCTTGACTAATACGTGAGGCCTTCTGAGAAATCAGATGACACTATTACACAGCAGCTGTGAAGTCATGGTCTGGTGCAGTCTTTCATACTCTAATTCTTGCCTCTGGTATTTATTCTTGACAGTGCAGTAGTAGTATAATTAGGTTGCTATTTCATCCTGAGAAGCTCTCTCCTTGTACAGGTGCCTTTGTATTTTTGAGTGGAGAAAGACCAAATACAAAAAAAGAAGCAGTGACCAAAATGGTAATATGAACTTCAAATTACTGTCTAAAACATTATTTTTATTCTGGAAGAATTTACTGTCCTAAACTATAATTCAGTTGGCATGAAACATCTTTACACTGATATGTGGCTGCATGTTTATGCTCACCTATTATTTTGGAAAGGTCACTTGTGTATATTACACATAAATTAAGAGTTCCGTTTTTTAATTAAGTGCTTTATATTGACTGTTTATTCCCTATACTACTCTAGCCTTGCTATTACATCAGCGAGCAAGGATGGAGAGGTTAGCAAAAGAACTGAAGCTTGAGAAAGAGGAACTTGAGCGGCTGAAAACTGAAGTTAATAGCATGGAGCACAATCTTATGCAGAGGCGACTTAGAAGAGTAAACTGTACAACCTCAATCCCAACAGTAAGAAATTTGTATTTGTAAACATCAGGTTTTTTTGAAGCTCCCTTGTTCAATTATTGTTCATGCAAGCAGCTTACAAAGTACAGTGTGTAATAAGATATTTTGGAGATTAAACTCTTTGAATTGGCAAGTGATTTTTGCTCTTTGCTTTGTGGTTTGTCTGCAAGATCAGTTCTTCCTTTGAAATAAACAGATATTTGGTACTTTAAGAAACACATATGGGCTACACTTTCAGAAACTTTGTTGTGCACACAGTGAAACCTATATGTGTTTACTTTTCTGTATCCCAGAATGATGACTCCTTTCAAATATACTGTGAGTGCCCAGGAGAAGATTAATGAGGAAGTCTAGATTTTATACCTAAGATTTGGCATGCACAGTTTGGTTATGTATGTAGGACAGATTTTTGAAAAGGAGCTTCAGTATGCCAGGCTACTGTCACTGCTTGGAATATATCTGTACCTCTTAGACCTCCCCCTTTTTACCCTCTGGTGTGGAAGCTCTGAGGGCACTTAGGGCTTCACTTGGCTGGTCACACCCGGGTAGTCTCAAGTGTGTTAAATGGGAGTTACTCTCCTCAGTTTAGCTATACTCATTGTTAATCCCTGCTGTTAGTAATGAGTAGTTTTTCTGGTATAGACAGGTCCATATGTATCATGACACCTACTTTCATTAATATATGCAAATGTCAGGAATGGATCAGTTGATCCCTTACTTCCCACTATCCATTCTATGCAGCATTGTACAGTTGAGAAATGTTGGGCTAAAAGTTTTGGTGTAATGCATTTCATCTTTAGGTGGGAGGGAAATGTAACTCCTGATTTGCAGCTGCTAATATTAACATAAACTAGAGGTCAGATGCTGCTTTCAGTTTATAAGGATAAAAATCTGGAGTAACTATTGCCCAGGGTTTTTGGAACCCAAAGCAGTGGTAACTTTACTGTATCTTTTTTTAGGTGGTATTAGGAATAAATTAATGGGGGTTTATCTTATTTGTTTGATAAATGATTGATGCAAGCAAGAGTGCTTTTATTTAAAACTATTTTTATTAGATTTTAAGTTCAGATACATACATATGCTGTTGCAGTAGGTTTAGAGGATTTAAAAACATTTATATTTACCTGAAGTTACGAAATGGTTTTAAAGGATTAGCTTTAGGAGGTCCCCTCTTTTGTTTGACTGCCGGAGATGCCAGATTCTTGCCCAAAGAAAACTTCTTTGGACTGCTCCAAAGCAAATTTTTTTACCTAATTTTTTATAGCCAACTTTAAACAAAACACAAGTTTATAGTGACTTCAGTGGGTCACCATAACAACCCCTAATTTTAGCAAACCTTATTTTTTATTAAAAAAACATTTTTAGTTATAACAATAAAATGTACATGTCAAAAGTGTTAGAGGCACTTAAGACCAAGGATGGCTGTCCAAATAATACATTTATTATTTATTTTATATTTATTATTTTGATAGCAAAACTGCAAACATGCAGTTATTTGACCTTGCTTCTTAGGGCCTAAGATTTTCCTAACTATGTGATGGTTTTCAGCTAGCAGTGGCTGAACATACAAAATTGCTGACTGCAGTACTGTCAAATTCTGGGGTACATACAGGAATGTCAAATTCTGGGGTAACAACTACACTGATTTTTCAGGAGTTAGACCAGTTCAACTGACAACAAAATTTGGTCATTGACCTTTCAAAGTTTCTCAAGGCAATATGCATCTGGTCTAAGGGTATAGGAGTACTGTAACTGCCATCATAGGTTTTGTAACTTGATAATTTTAAAAGCCGAGCTCAATTTTCTTCCTGGTAAGTATTAAAACTAATGTGTATACGTTTATTTATCGCCAAAATGCCTAATGAATAACTCATTTTAAAAATATCTTTAAACATTTCCCTTGAAATCATGTTGACATTCGCTATGGATATTTTTTTCGCTGCACTTACCCATCATTGGCAACCCTGCCCCCGGTAACATTATTAATAGGACCTGTTAACATATGAGACAAATAACATTGTTATATCTACATTAGAGTTGATGCTGACTTTCCTACAATTGCTATTTTGGGTCCTTTCTTACTAGCCGGAGGAAATGACCAGATTGAGAAGCCTGAATAGACAGCTCCAGATAAATGTTGACTGTACTCTGAAAGAAGTTGACCTCCTTCAATCTAGAGGTATAGACTTGATTGTTTTTGTAACACATAAGTTTTAATGTGGTATGTGTTTAAATATGAGTAGATCTTTGGCTTTTTCTTTTCCTTTTTTATCAAAGCTGGGTTTTACTGATATCAAGTCATTACTTCAGAATGAAAGACACAACCTGTCTTTTTTTCTTTGTCAGTTTTAAGCTGGTTGGATAGTGTGGTTTTTGTTAATAACATTCTCAATAAAAGTGGGCCCAAATTAAATTAAGTAATTACTTGTAAATAGCAATTTGAAAGGACTTTGTCAAGATAGCTGAATCTAAAAATGGGCATACCTTGATAATGGTTCCATACTCAAGTTCTTGAGTTCATGATATATTCATTGTTGCTGCAAACATATCTCTTTGCTGTGACTCATTGTGACACTAAATAAAGTGTAGTAAATAAATTGCTACGTGTGCTCTTGCTGTGTCACATCTGCCACTTTCAGACTGAGAACACACTTGCCGTATCTGTATTATGAAGACACATGGACCAGCCTTACAAGATAAAAAGACCATAGTGATTATAGTCTAAAAAGTCTGGTATAAATCTTGTCTCATTTCTAGGCTAGGACAAGAAAGAAGAAAGTAATACCAACTAAACAATTTATCTTAACACGTTCCTTTGCTTGGCAAACTATTGACGTTAGAGAAAAAGAATGGAAAAGGAGGTATATAAGAATTAGAAGAACTAGCACCAAGGACCCTGAAAGTGATGCAACTCAACATGGTTTAAAACCAAGAATCCAGCAAATACAAATAATTCTAATTAAAAGATGCTTTCAAAAACTCCTAAGGAAATTTGTGGTAAATGTATTACAAAAACAGTTAAATTGTAAATCTCTGGGGCCTTCACCCTAGAAGCTCTGTCCTGAAAAAAAAATTGCATTTTCAGTTATCTATGAAGCAATCCAACACACTGAAATAGACTTTGCTGTCCAAATAGAAGTTGCCCTATGAAAGCAAAGCAAAACCGGAGATATGCAGGGAAAACCTCTGATCCAGTAAAAGGTTGAAATAGAACATAACATGAAATAAACATAGAGAGGAAAGCTTTCAGATGACTAGAACAAAACACTTGTGTCCTGAGCAAATAAACTACCTCTCAAATGTAAACACTGGTAACAATACCCGAATGACTTAGCATCAGTCCATTTAAAAGAAATAGTCATATCTGAGTCATGTTCTAAGAGCTTGATCCTGCAAGTTGCTGAGTAGTTTCTGGATTGCTGAGTTCCTTCTTAGGGACCTGAAGGTGCTCAACTCATAGTAGGAGGTTTTACCCAACACCACTGAAATTCATCCAGCCCATCTGCCAGGGATGAAATTTTGGGAAGGATGTTAGGAGATCCAGTGGCAATTTTTACAGAAAATGCCATGAGATCCTGAATGTCCATGCAGAGCAAACAGAATCTTATCTCCCCCACCCCTTTTTTTTAAAAAACATTTATCTAGATGTTTCAAACCTGATCCATAGAAACATGCAAAAAAAGAGACTAGAAGAATATGGAATGAGAATGTCCTCTAGCAAAGGACACAACTTGCAACACATTCAGAGCAAACTGAAAAACAGATTCCCACAGTATACAGACAACTCATTCTCTGTGGGGACTGTGATCCCATTTTATAAATGAGCATATTTAAAATAAATTACGTATCAGAACGCCGACACTGAAATGGGATTGACAGGTGTCAAATTCACAATTAGGCATATATACAATCAGTGCTAACCACAAAATTAAACCTGTGTGCCAGGTCCAGCTGAGAATATAGGAAATGTGAAAGACCAGTGAAACTGCACAGGATAAATGAAAATGAAGAACAGAAACACCATGGGATTCATACCCAGAAGGGTATGGACAGAGAGAACTGTTCAGAAATGAGTGCTAATCTTCACTTAGATCCAAACTGATTTTCATCTGCTTTTCTAACCAACAATCTGGAAGCAGCTCCTATTTACAACCCTTTCTCTCCTGCATCTGCAGCTACAGTAGGTTTGCGCTACATTCCTCTACCAATTTATTAAGAGCTCCACCTTTTGAAATGAGACAAAGCAGAGGAAGAGAGACAGTGTAACTAATCTTGAGCAAGTAAACTGAAAATTTAGGAGACCAGCTGAAAATACCAGAGGAAAAATTAAAACACTACAGAGGAGAGATCTTAAAAAAAGTTAATGTTAGAACTTTAGTATGGCACCCCTAACAAAACAGTACCATTTTTAGGCCCAGTTATTTTGATTCCATTTCCATATGGTCAAGGGGATCTCAATTTAGGTGTATAGTTCCTTAAACAATTGGCATCCTCATAGGAAATAAGATAGATGGGGTGAAACATTATTTCCTTTTTCTCTTAGACATTATTTGGCTTATTTAAACCTTTTTTAGTTATCACTGCTGTCTGTGGAATACTGCAGTTTTTATTGATAAACTTAGTTCTGAAGAGTGGCAGAATTTCAGAGAGATGTGGTAAGTCTGCTACAATTTCTTCAGTGTAGTAGTATGCCTGCAAAGTAAATGCTGCAATGGGATAATATGATATGAGTCAGAAAGATATGGAAGATGTAATAAGCTGTAAACTTGCATCATATAAAAAGGTACTATTTGTACATATACTCTCTAATATCCTATCTTGGTATTGTTTATATTTATATCCCTCTTACCAGGTAACTTTGATCCGAAAGCCATGAGCAACTTTTATGATAATATAGAGCCTGGTCCTGTTGTGCCACCAAAGCCATGTAAAAAACGTGAGTTGCTAAATAAGGGCCAAGAAAACCATTCATATATCTGACTGTTATTTAGTAGTTCTCACACTGAGAAGGAGATTTTCCATGTGTTACAGTAAGTGTTAACGCAGTTCTTTTTATACTATCAGTAGTAGCAGGAAACATTTTACTTGTTATTTTATATATTTTTACAAGCTGTGCAGCTAAAACACTTAAACAGATTTATGTTGATACAGCAACAATAACACTGGCACTAAAAGCTATTTTCTATCAATGTGTTTAAAATTAATATTCTGATCATATGTTTATGCATAATTCTGCTCACTAATAGAAAGTACATACGCTTTTACAGTTGATTTTAGATTGACTTGAACTTCCAATTAACACATTTTTTAAAATAAATAATTTTGGTTAAATCCTATTTAGGTTAGGACACCTCAGTCTTCCAGTAACATTAATTATTGGGATTTTTATAAACATAACTGCAGTGATAGCCATACATAAATTAAATCAGTAATACAAATTCATAATTTGAATTGGTATTTTGTTTTTCCCATTAACATTGTCTGCTCGATGGTCACCGTTTTGACCAGAATTACAGAGAGTAAATTTCATAGTATTAATAATATTTCAGAGCAGTAGGAGTCCCATAGGTGCTGTATTCCATATGTTGCAGGCTGTTCCCCCAAAATCGAAAACTTTGCAATTGCTAACCTAGCCAGTATTATTTGCTCTATGCTGTTCACATGTCATTTCTTTTGTCTTGTGGATAGTATGATTGCAGAATGCTATTGTGGTTAGCAGAAGAAAGATGATCTTGTGGTTGAGGCGCAGAATTGGGACTTGGGAGATTTGGATTCAATTAATGGCTTTGTCACAGATACCTGGTGACTGCAAGTCATTTAGACCCAGATTTTCAAAGGTATTTTGGTGTTGCTGTGCTCAGCATTGCAATGCCTAACTGATTTAGGAGGCTGTCTCAGTTTCAAAAGTGATTGAGACATTTAGGAGCCTAAATCCAATTCAGTGCTTATTTAACAGCATAAATACAGATTTAGGAACCTAACTTTAGGCCTTTAACTTAGTCCTGTTTGAAAGGACTAAATTAACGCAAACTAGGTACGTTTTAGTTTGCCCGCACAGTGTCCACACTGGGGAGTTAGTGCTCAGCATGCTAGGGTGGGTGAAAAAATCAAGACATTTATTTAAGAGCCTAAATATAGATTTTTGGAGACTAAGTTTAGGTATCCACATTTGAACTTCGGCCTTTGTAGACAAACCCCAGATTGTCTTATCACTTTAAACAGGAGTAGAACAGTGGGGAAGGGAATGAGGGAGAACAAAGTAGAGAAAGGGCAGGACTCAGGATATGGCAGAGAGTTGGATAAGTTTACCACAGGTACACTTAAACTTAGCTGTTTTTACCCTGATGCCTTGCAGGAAAACAGCACAAGGCAATTATTCCACAACCTGTAGTGTTCCAAAAGATAGTGTGTGACAATGAAATAAAATGAGAGCAATGGATATTGATCAGTACTTGCTTTTCTATCCTCCCTTCTTTCAGGATGTATTGGCTGGAAAAGTCAAGTGCATAGAAACTGAAGCTGGATTAAGCTACTGAAATTATAGTAACGTTAAAACTGTTTTTGGGACAGGGCAAATCTCTTAATGGACTGTACCTGTCAAGCCATTATCATTAGACAAAGTATACAGGTTAAATAGGTAGTTAGTAGAGTGTGGTGCCCATAAGTCAGTTCTTTGGTCAGGGGTCTGATGAAATGTGTGCAATATCTAAACTAAATTAGTTTGTGCTGTGTGGTAAAAATGGTACATTAAATAGTCTACACAATAAGTGTTAACTAGTAGTTTGCTGGTAGCACTTTGAAATGTTGTGCAATTTTAAAAACTGACAATCAATTTGTAGTTCATTGAACTTTTCAGACTTTGATAGGCTTGGGCCGTATTTACATCCTTTTAAGTATTTATTTTACTGCTGTTTTAGAAAGTGCCAACATAAGGGTAAAAATCAGGTTAAGTAATTTCTAAGAAATTCAAAGAGATGACAGTGAAGCAGTTGACAAGTAACCTGGGGCAAAACACTAATTTTCTGAAAAATGGATGATGATGTCTGAGATAAAGAAAAATGAAACCTGAGAATTCTTTGTCAAGACATACATACTGGAGCAATGTGACATGTACATGGCTTTAGATTTTTGCAGAAAAACTTGAAATATAAAGGATGATTTCTAAATATATTTGACCTAGGGCACAGATCAATTTTATACACTTATATACTTAATAAATGTGGAGGGTTTTTTTTATGAGCAACTGCTGACATTCAGCTACTTGACACCAGTGGGAGTTGGGTCATGCCCCAGTTCAGGAGGACAGGGCATTGCTGGAATGGGAGCTTAGGAATACCTTCAAAACTCTATCACCAAACTGAAAGAAGTTTGGGATGATTGCCCAACCTTAAAAGTTTTCCCTTTCAGGGTACTGTTGAATCACTTTTATCCCTGACTTTCATAAAAGACATTTCTGAAGAGCAGACTGCTCGTGCACCAAATCCCTTGAGAATTTATTTAGGAAAATACCTGGAATATACCAGGGGTGGCCAACCTGTGGCTCTGGAGCCGCATGCGGCTCTTCAGAAGTTAATATGCGGCTCCTTGTATAGGTGCCAACTCTGGCGCTGACTTTCCAATGTGCCAATGGTGATCACTGCTCAACCCCTGGCTCTGCCCCAGGTCCTGGCCCCCCCCCGGCCCCTTCCCCCGCCCCCGCCCCGCCCCCCCTCCCTCCCCCCCCCCCCCCCCCCCCGCCCCCCAGGAGCCTCCTGCACACTGTGAAACAGCTGATTGTGGCGGGCGGGAGGCACTGGGGGCAGGAGGGGGGGAGCTGATGGGGGGCTGCTGACATATTACTATGGCTCTTTGGCAATGTACATTGGTAAATTCTGGCTCCTTCTCAGGCTCCGGTTGGCCACCCCTGGAATATACCCTCTCTCAGATCTTTCAACAAACTTCTCTCTCTCTCTCTCTCTCTCTCTCTCTCTCTCTCTCTCACACACACACTCACACACACACACACTCACACACACACTTGTTCCTCCTTCATACTGCACATTTGAATATAGCACCATCATAGTATCAGTGCTTTGAGGAACAGCATATAAACATGTTTTAGCAAAGTGTACTGTATACGTTTGTCTGCTTGTCAGGGTGTTGCCGTCTCTCTTTATCTTGTTTAGGAACACAGATTCCTCAGTCCCTCCCCTATAACTTCATGGATGCTAGTTCCATGGAATTTATCGCTGACTAAAGCAGGGGTGGGCAAACTTTTTGGCCTGAGGGCCACATCTGGGTATGGAAATTATATGCCGGGCCATTAATTCCCGGTGGGGAAGGAGGACTCTATGGGATGTAGCATGGGGGGAGCTCTATAAGGGATGTTACTGAAGTGGGGGGAGGGAGGACTCAGGGGTGTGGGGAGGGGGGGAGGGCCTCTACAGGGGTGGTACAGGGGACTCTTAGGGGCCATGCCAGCAGTGACACCAAGGTGGCCGTACCAGGCACTGTCACGGGTGGAGGCACCCTAGCTGGGACAGGTGCAGCCGCTGGGCAGTTCCGAGGCTCTCAAAGGTGGGGCCATAGAAGACCAGGAGGGGATTGGGTGCACTGCTGCATGGGGGGGTGGGGAGGCTGCCACATAAGAGCAGGGTTCCGATCCCAGAAACAGCGCAGTGTGGCTCTACGTGCTGGAAGACGGTGCTCATCAAGGGAATTGTGAGTCAGGGGCTGGGGAGCGCTGGGCAGGCAGAGTGGGGCAAGCCCCCAACCCCTTTCCCTGGCGGGAGCTCGAGGGCTGGAAGCGGCCTGCGGGCCTTAGTTTGCCCACCCCTGGACTAAAGGAAGGGGTCGGAAAGGTGTGTGGCATTTATCTTCCTTTGAGGCATCCTACAGTGTTGACTTTTGGATGCAGGATAGTGCATTAGACCATTTTTGGGGGGTTTTGTATGGTAAATCTTTTGTTATTAATTACTGACAGCCTTTAATAACAACTATGGAAAGAAGACTCTTGGAAAAAGTCACTAGGGTAAAATGACAAATATGTAAATTGGGTGCTGTGTGAAAGTATAGGCTTTTATAAATAAATTCTAGTTTATTCTTACCATCATCTACTTGGAAAAGGAGTCATGCCTCAAAGAAAAAATATAAATCTTTTGGAAGTTTTTTTTAAAGTTTTTGATCAAATGAAAAACTGAAAATAATTATCTGGCTTCTGAAGTTAGT